TAGCTCTAACCTTACACTAAGCAAATGATTAACCATAACTACAATACTAATTTCAATACTAATTGTAACCCTAGCAGTAATCATAATCCTAACCCAGCACTAACCAAAACCATTGCATAAACTTACCCTTAACCCTAATACTAAAGAAAGCTCTTTATCTGTCAGAAACATAACTGAAACCATCTTGTGTTGCTCAGAATAATGTGGTGGCTCACCAGGCTGCGCTGATAAGAGGTAGGCCTCAGAAGCAAGCCCCAGGCAATCCACCTAGATGCTCAGATGGGAACCTCGCCCTGAACCTAGGCCTTGATATGCTAATGAGCCAGCCCCAAGCTGGTGTTGGTATGCTAGTGTTCCAACCCCAAGCCCTGGGTACAAATAGCACAAAGCTGCCACCAATGAAATGATACAAAAGTTGGAACTTCGGAAGTGGCCTCTAGGGTCACACTGCTGAGCTCCAAGACATAGCTTCCTAGCCTTTGTGTCAACTTGAGAGGACTTGAGACTTTGTGAGTGACTTCGTCCTCAGTGATTGTTGAACTTGCAGCGCTGTTGTTGAGCTCGCACAGACCAACCGGCCAGCACTCTCAAATACTTCCTGGACCTTCATCAGGCCATCCTTTCAGCCTATCTTAGTGGAAGGACTTCACAGTGAAGGTGGGTGGAACCAGCAAGTTAGGAAGCATCCTCCCTGGAGAAGAGTCCCCAGTGGAACCCTGCAGCAGCATTTTCTGCCCAATCAACTACTACCCACTTGGTGAGTTGTCTGTTTAGCTTTTATATTTGTATACTATAAGGAATATTTGTGTGAATAAATGGAGCGTATTTAAAGACAAATCCTGTGTGCCAAGTGCCCATGGTCCATGCTCTGGTAATATCAGATACAAACACTAATTGTAAACCTAGAGCTAATCTAAACCTACCCGAAAGTGGGTCTAGATTTAACCCTCATCCTGTCTCTAACCCTATCCCTAGCCCTAACCTAAACCTAACACTATTACTATCCCTAAACCTAACTAACCCAAACCTTAGCTTTCTCACCCTAAATTCAACCCTAGCTTAAACACTAGCCTTAAATGCATGACTGGCCTTAATGAAATTGTAAGCCTACCTCTATCCTAAATTTAAAAACTAGGCATAAACCCTCTTTCTAACAATAACTGTCAACCTTACACCAACTTCATACAGAACCTAACCCTATCCACAATGCCAGCCTGGCACTGCCACTAACACTGAACCTAAACCTAACCATAATTCTAACCCAAGAGATAACAATAACGATAATTGTAAACCTAGCCTTAAAGCTAACACTAGGCCTACCTTTAACACTAACTTTAGAAACAACACGATACTGTACCTAACCCACCCTAGAATTTAACCATGCTTCTAAATCTCACATTAATCTCAGAAATATAGTAAAACTTTCATTTTTTAACACAAACTCTGGCCTAACCATAGCTCTATTTCTAACTCTAACATTCATATTAGAATAAACCTAAAACTGTCTCTAGAACTAACACCAACTAGGTAACCTTGGCCATTATGTTAAACTAAACTTAACCTTTCTTACCATAGCCTAACCTTAAACCAACACTTTCTAATCCTAATGTTAACCCTAACCCTAGCCTTAATGTACAATAATTCTAGCCAGTTCCTAAGCAAAACCCTGACTTTAAACATCCATCTTGTCTGAACACTAAAATTTCATCTAAAACTAACCAAAATCCAATTGTTAATGCTAACTGTGCCCTTACCACAATCCACATCAAGTGCTATCAAACCTCATATATGACCCTGACATTAACTCCGACAGTAAACGGAATAGTCACAAATGCCTGTCACTAATCTTAACTCTAATGCTAACACTAACCACAACCATTACCTAAACCTAGTTTTAACCCTCTGCATAAAAACTGAAACCTAACACTAAACACAATTTTATATCTAAAAAAAAAAAACAAAAACAAAAACTAGCTCTTCCCCTAGTCTTAACCCTAAAACTATTGAAACATCACCCTAATTCTAAGCCTAGTTCTAACCCTAGCTATAATCCTAACACTACCACTAGCCACAGCTCTAACCCTAAACCTAACAGTAGCTCTAATAGTAGACTTAACTTGGATTAACATCCCAAACCCAGCTTCTGCCCTACACTAAACTCTAGCTCATAGAGTAACCCTAAATCTAGCCCTAGCCCTGGCATAACTCTGCATAACCCCAATACTAATGATCTGCCCAGGCATGACCATAAAAGAACCCTAATCAGACCACAGCCAAAACCCTAAACTTAACCCTACATCTACCTGGACAACAAAACTAAGTCTAAATGTACACACAGTTCTCAGGAGGCCATCATCTAGTCTTCCTTAAAACTTTTGGAAGGTAAGCAAAAGTAGGGATGGTAATCAAGAATGTCACAGGTGACAATATTTCTCTGTCCCAGGTAATACATAGATGCTTCACATATACACTCCAGAGACAGCATATCAATGTTGTGACATTCTGGGGACAATTCACTGTGAATTAAGCCAACACACATTAGTTAGTGCCTCCTATATACTCGTGGGCCAGGGACGCAGTGCTCTGATGTGGCTCCTGTCCCTGGTAAGCTCTGGACAATCTCAAGATGACTGTCCAGTGAAAGCTTTTGTTAAGTATTTCTAATTTACAGTAGAAATACAAAGAAATTAAGCTAGTAATTGATTTTGATTTTATTAGAAGGGAGAATTAGAGGTGGGTCTGTTGGCGCCTGCTGAGGAAAGCCTAGCAGGGTCAGGTATTAGAAGGAAGCCAGGGGATCTGGATTTTTGTTCACCCTGTCTTCCCAGAGAACACACCAGGTTTGGGTACCTACTACTCCACGCCTCCCAGTACCTAACAGAATCCTGTTCTGGGCTGAGTTCACTAAATAGTCAACACATGATCGCCTCTGTTCCTCGGCCGGACAGACCCTTCCCATTAGCTTTCCTCCATCTGGCTTGGGACTCAGGGGAGTGAAAACCAGGTGGCTTTACCTGTCAGAGTAGCTTGTGGCTACCCAGCCAGTCACCGGAAAGTGAGAGGACAATTTTTTTAATGGGCTACAACATTGTCTTGGAGTTTACAAAGCTTTACCATTCGCTGCCTTGTCTGTTTGGTTTGATTCTCAGAAAAAATAACCCAAGAAACAGAGCCACTGATGTACCTACTTTACAGATGGGCAACAGAGACCCGGGAAGGGTAGTTTTTGCTAATCCTAGAATACAAAAGATAAAGGAGTACAAAGAGGCATTTTCCGAAGAGGACCAGGGAGTCGTGTATCGGGAAAGGCTTCCTGAAGGTCTTGTTAAAAAAAAAAAAAAAAAAAAAATCAAGGAGTCTTGTTTAAAAAAACCCAAAAACAGTTGTCCACTGGAACAGACAAAGAATAGGAAACTCCAGTACATGACTCTGCAAAGGCTGGAGAACTTGTGGAAGTCTAGGAAATTAGTGGGGTACCATGATGATGATGGCTGTAACTGTGACAGCAGCTGATGCTGTGTACCAACTTAAAAAGTATGAACTTCATCCGTAGAGTCAAGATGTCTCTCTTTCCCTGCACAGACTCTCTCTCTTCCAGTATTCCCATCAGAAAGAAGATGAGAACGGATAGGTGCTTTAGATCTTTCTCTGAGGCAAGGTGGGTGGAGGTTGGACAGGCTAGGCTAGTTGTTCAAAAGACCTAAGGAGACAGTGGGGGTAGAAATCAGAGGTGTGTTCCCAAACCTCCTCTTGCTATTGGGTAAGAATTTGCCCTTCATGTCTCAAGCTCCTCTGTCTACAAAGACAAAATAATATGTTTGCATCCATTTGCCTCAGGAATGACTTGAGAATTAATGGTGCAGAGGCCTGGCTGGCTTCCGTGACTCAAGCAACGCCCTTGTACAGCATGCTTGTGGCACACATTCAATGTTGATACATACAGTGCATTTTGAAGGTGGACCTGGGACTAATTATAGTCTGTTAATTATTGTTAATTTTACCACGGCTTGGAACGGTGGACTTTCTCTAGATTCTAAGAGATTGCCATCCTCCATCCTATCAAAGAGGTACAGTTTCTCACAGGCTCCGTTCTGCCACTATACTTGCTAGTTCAGCCACCTCCGTCGGATACAGAGAAAGAAAATCAAGAATTTGCTCCCTTAGAATCAAATTTTACAACATCTCTCCTAGTGGATATACTGACTCTACAAAAAAAAGTTTTTTTTTTTTCACCTGTCTTTAGTAAGTACAGGCATAGAATGTGTTCAGCAGAGTTTTTAGTAAGCGGACACCAGGACGACTGGCTTGTACGGGCGCTGTGGCAATGGAGTTGTTCCACTAGCCTGTCTTGAGATGCCGCACCACATTTACAGTCCTTACGGCCAAGCAGAAGACCCAGGCCAGGATCCCAGAACATCAATGGCTCAGTGACTTCAGGTCCCCCGCTACATCTTCTTCATCTCACCTAGAACAGGGCTTACAGACTGCGTCCTGAGAGGCATGAGGTCACGCTTGTGTTGGTGACCAGAAAGCGAACTTTCTGTTCAATGTAAAGGTGGTATGAGACGTTCTGGAGCAAGAAAAGACAGAACGGAAAGAAGCCGAAGATAGGAGAGGTGAGAGAAAAGGCGGTGTGGGATTAAGGGGCCTGGAAGGAGAGGGCTGTGGGGGTGTTAGCAGGGCCTCTGGAGGCTGCACTGGGAGAGGTGGGGACGCTCTGGTTCTGAGCCGTGAGGAGGGCAGCCTCTCCTGGGTGGGGCCAGGTAAGTACAGGTTTCCTCTACGGGCTTTCGGTCAGCAGAGGGCAGGAGCAACCTCCCCTGCCTGATCCTATCTGAGGCAGCTCAGGGCTGGTGGCTGCCTCCGCGGGACCTGGGAATGGGGAGCGCCGCCACCCAGATTCCACCGGGTGACTCACTGGCTAACCAGTCCTGCAAGTCCAGGAGAGTATAAGAGCGGGAGGGAGCGGCTCGGCAGCAATCGCCTTCGCTGTGCTGGCCTGCCCGACCCTTCAGGAGCCCTGCCTCTGGTCGGTCGCTGTAGGCCCGCTCTCCTCCACCCCGCCATGGCGAGGGGCTTGGGGCTGGCGCCGCCGCCGCCGCCGCTGCTGCTGCTGCTGCTGCTGGCCGCGGCGACCCGCTCTTGCGAGGCGCAGCGCAACTGCACGTGCCCCACCAACAAGATGACCATCTGCAGCCCGGACGGCCCGGGCGGCGCCTGTGAGTGCCGGGCCATCGGCTCGCAGGCGGTGGTGGACTGCTCCACGCTGACTTCCAAGTGTCTGCTGCTCAAGGCGCGCGCGAGCGCGGGGAAGAGCGGCCGCAGCCTGGTGAAGCCGAGCGAGCACGCCATCCTGGACAACGACGGCCTCTACGACCCCGAGTGCGACGCCCAGGGCCGCTTCAAGGCGCGCCAGTGCAACCGGACGTCGGTGTGCTGGTGCGTGAACTCGGTGGGCGTGCGCCGCACGGACAAGGGGGACCTGAGCCTGCGCTGCGACGAGGTGGTGCGGACGCAGCACATCCTCATCGAGCTGCGCCACCGCCCCACCGAGCGCGCCTTCAACCACTCGGACCTGGACCGCGAGCTGCGGCGGCTCTTCCGGGAGCGCTACGGGCTGCACCCCAGCTTCCTGTCGGCGGTGCACTACGACGAGCCCACCATCCAGATCGAGCTGCGCCAGAACTCGTCCCAGAAGCGCCTGGGGGACGTGGACATCGCCGACGCCGCCTACTACTTCGAGAGGGACGCCAAGGGCGAGTCGCTGTTCGTGGGCCGCCGCGGCCTGGACGTGCAGGTGCGCGGGGAGCCCCTGCACGTGGAGCGCACCCTCATCTACTACGTGGACGAGAAGCCCCCCCAGTTCTCCATGAAGCGCCTCACTGCCGGCCTCATCGCTGTCATCGCCGTGGTCGCCGTGGCGCTCGTGGCCGGCGCCGTCGTCCTGGTGGTCAGCAACCGGAGGAGGTCGGGGAAGTACAGAAAGGTGGAGCTGAAGGAGCTGGGGGAGAGGAGAAGCGAGCCGAGCCTGTGATCCGGGTCCCTGGCCTCCTCCTCACCCCGGGCCAGAATGTTGGTTCTTGGCCAGGAGGTAACTTTCCTCCCAGCCCCGACCGCTTCCTTCTCCCTCCACCAAGTTCGCCAGGTGCTGAGCTCAGGTCATCTCGGTAGGGAAGGAAGCATTTCTGAAATTCCTTGTGCGGTCACCAGAAAGCTGGAGAGTTAAGCGCAGGCGGGCGAGGCGGCTTCGCCAGGGCCCCGGTGCCAGGGCAGCCCGGCTTCGTTTCCCAGTGACTTGAATGACTGAAATGGGCTGATACGGGCGAGCAGCGCTTTTTCTGTCCCGGGTTGTTGGCCATTCGCTCCCTCCTCTCCGCCTTCCAGAAAAGAGGAGCTCGCTGACGGAGCCTGTGCAGTGTTCTTCCTCTGCCGTTGTTTGGACGGGAGGAGAGGCGGTTCCCGTGTCTGAGCACGTTTTAGAGGTCTTTATTGGACTGCATCTGTTCTTCTGCTTGCGCTTGATGTAGCTGATACGAGAGAGTTTTCTTTTGTGAAACGTTTGTACAGATGGATCTTTGATAATGCTGCTGTTTTTTTTTTTTTTAGCAACAACTCGAGTTTAATAAAATATGGGAAAGGCACAAACCTAAAAATGGGCTGTATGAAAATTTCCTCCAGATTTGTATCTGTTGTTCTCCTTTGTCTAATACTTGGATTTTATGTTTTAAATTCTAACGCTTCCGTGTGAACTTCTAACATTTACTATTGATACTTCTGTGTTTCCTGGGAGCTGGGGTGCTGTGCTTGCCTAGACAGGCCCTGGGTTCCATCCTCACCAGAGCGGGGCGGGAGGGGGGGAGGGAGATGAAAACGTTCTGGTTGATAAAACCAACCGCCCTCAAACCCGCAGAGGAGTGGGAGATGGCTGCTTATTAGCAGACAGGCTTCCCGTTATAGTTCTTAAGTCAGGTGCGGGAGCGAAGCCCACTCCCAGAGTCCTAGCAAAGAAATGACTAGGGGATTTAAGGGCCCTGCGACTCATCTTCCAAAGAACAGGGTTGAGAGTCCGTTTCTGTGAGGATACACCTATTGGCGACAGGCTGACTGCAGAAATGAATGCTATTGGGAGTTTGGGGGACGCAAGGGAGGGAGTGAGGAGGAAAGACTTGAAGGTAGAAGCTGGGAGAATGGGTGGGGAGAGCCTCTGAATGCTTTCCTAAGATTCTAACAGCTACTACTGGTTCGTGCCTGGTTCCGGAGGGGTGGGAGGGGTGGTTGCCTAGCGACGGGGAACCGAGGGGCGGAGCCTGGGCTGGGAAGCAAGTATCGGTTTCCTTTCCAGGCTTTCGTTCGACCGGAGGCAGGTGCAGCCAGATGCTATCGCGCAGGCCCAGCTGGGTTCTCCACGGAGGAGGAGAGTCACCCAAATTCCTTTGCGTGAGCCGCTGGAACCAGCCGGTCCGGTTTGGTGGAGAGTAAGGGCGAAAGGGAGCGGCCTGGCCATTTGCAGACGCTCTCAGTGCCCCAACACCTAGGCCGAGCCTGTCTGGTCCACCCCTCCGCGGCCGAGGCCCGGGTTTATGCGCGCGCTGCGGGTGCTGGAGGTGATGCTCTGCTTCGCGACGGCGCAGGGCAGGGACGCGTGCTCTGCCAACTAGATGGCAGACCCTGGGGGCGCTGCCACTGTGGAGTTCGGCTTGGGTTTGGTGACTGGCTGCCCCACGCTGACCTCCAAGTACCTGGCGCTCGAAAGAGCGAGCCGCTGAGGTCCTTAGTTTCAGCGGCGTGTTTTCTCCTACGAGCCCTTCTCTGAAGTAAGAGGAACGAGTCTCATTCAGCAGTTGAGCAAATATGTTAATCTGGTGGCGAAACTGTTAAGCAACTTCCCCAAACCCATATTAATGAGCACTTGCGTCTTTTTTCCATTGACTGCACAAGCCGGTCACCGATTTCGCTCACTGGTACTCACTTCCGCGAAGCCAAGTGTGTTGCTGTGGGACAGTCACTGCGATGACCGGGAAGCTGACTCTCCACAATAATCTAAGATGCGAGGCTTCGGTTTCTCCTCCACCGGAAGCCCTGTCGTCCCGCCCCTCTTCTACAACCCACACTGAGCCTCAGCTTAAAGTAGCTTAAAACTTGCTCTCGGGTTCAAAGGGAATCACTTACACGAAGGGAGCGAGCGGCGCGGGTGCGCGCAGGCTCTCGGGTGCGGGCAGGCTCTCGGGTGCGGGCTGGCTCCCGAAGCGGCGCGAAGACCTAGTTAAACTACTCCTAGGGAGAGAGACTCCGCAGTCTTCCTTCTCTGGCCTTTCTCTTCTCTCCTAGGGCCCTAGCTGAAGGGAGGGAGCGAGGCATCCTTTGACCTCACCTTCCATTACAAGGATGAAATGAACAAGGGGTTATCAAAAATTAAAGTTTCTGTGGCCCAACTGCCGCGTACAGGCTTTTCACCTTCAAAAATCAAATAAGTGGATAAAGTGGGCAACTGAAAAAACAAAAAACCAAACAACAACAAACAAACAAAACCCGAGCTCTCCGAGAAAGCCTTCCTGCATCAGAATGGGGCTGCTGTCCGAAGCAGCACCTTCCGCTGCAACTTCTTCTGTGGATGCTGAGCACTTCCCAGCACTCAAAGCTTGGTACCCTTTCCTGTGTCTGAACTTTGAGATACTTACTGCAAGTCCCCTACTCGCCCCTCTGCGTCAAGTAAACCCACAAAGCCCTCTCACATTTCTCTCTTTTCTAGAGAGACACGTGAGACACGCACAAGAAAACTAAGGTCTGAAGAGGCTGACTAAATATACGCATGCAGATCCTCCACCGGCCAAAGTCAGCTTGGGCTTGAAGGTGGCTGTCACGTGGTGTGTAGCGTACCTTTCCTCTTCATTTCCCCCAAGCTGATCATCTTTCTGCTTTCAGCTCAACCAACCCCATCTGCTGAGGACAGCGCAAGAGCAAAAGTAACCTTCAGGGCCTTAGTTTCTTCCTCTATGACTCTCCCCTCACTCCAAAATTTTTCTTTCACTCACTGGTTTGAACTCAGGCTGGTGCCAGGCTTACAGGTAATGTGACAAGCAGGCAGGGTTCTCATCAGGTCTGAGCTTGTTCTCTGAGCTTCCAGCAGTCCAGGCTGATTTCCTTGTGTGCGTCACCGGGGCTTTCTCCACTATTTCCACTCCCTTATGTAGAACAACATTGAACATTGTTTACCTTTCTTGCATTTTTTGTTTGTTTACTGTTTCCAAGCAGAATGTTAGAGACAGGAGGAGAATCATTTTAGTCCTATATCTTATTATACAGATGAGGGGACAGAATACAGAGAAAAGACTTACTGGAGCCAGCCAGCAGGTGGTAGTGTACTTGAGTTCCTAAACTCCTCACTGTCCTAGCTACTGTTCATTCTGTGTTTTCTTGATTATTATGTCCCCCTTTTCCCCCCTTTTGGAGACAGGCTCTCACTCTGTATCCTTGGCTTAGAACCCACTAATGTCCATCAGGAGACCTTCCAACTCTGCCTCCTGAGTGCTGTGTCTAAAAGTGTATGGCACCATGCCCGGTTATTATTTCCATTCTTAAATTGTGATTATTCTGTAGCTTTTGGTTATCACTGGAATGGGAGAGATACTTTGGGTACACAGCTATAAAACGGTAAGCTATGAAGTCACCTGGCTGCTTTTTCCCAGTTTGTAAAATGGGTATAGTTTTTCTTTAGCATCATGCTTATTCTTAATGGTTAAGATCAGGCCTGAGGGCTGAAAAGATTACATCACTCCTGTTTGCTCTACAGCAAAGTAGCCTAAGAACGCAGAGGAAAAATTGCTGGTTGTGAATGGGTTCATGGAACGTCCACCCACTTGCTCATGAGAACATCTTCTTTTCTAGGCTTCTGTGATAAATAGGGCCACCTCTTCACAGAGACAAAAAGCCATGACCAAAGCATCCATGTTCAGCTAGGTGAACACAGACAGACCTTCAACTATGATATGAGAAATTACTGTGTTGTTTTTTGTTTTTTGTTTTTTGTTTTGTTTTGTTTTTAACTTCAGGTTTGTCTACTTAGAGAAGTTCCAGCGTTGGGAATGAAACTGGAAGGGTTCCACACACAGGGAGTGGGTTTCCAGTAGCTTAATGTTGAGGAGTCAGGCTGGAAGTATTTGGCACTGAGTTGTTGAGTGAGCTCACAGAGTTGCTCCCATGGCAAGACATGTCCCTAGAAACTACCAAGACAGATAGTTTTTATGTCCTATGTCCTTACCCAGCTAGCTCCCATGTCAACTTAAAAGAGCATCTTGGTCCTGTCTTATATTCCACCACCACCACCCCACCTTCCTATCTTTTCTTTTTCTTTTCTCAAGGAACAAAGTCTGTCCTGGTTTGGGTATCTCCATGGACTAAGAGATGAAACTGTTCTACATTATCAGCAACATACCTGTCTTTACTCCTGTCTTTCAGATTGCCTTCTGCCCAAATTTCTTCATTTTACCCTTCTTTTCTGGCTCTTATAGAACCCCTATTTTTTATGATTTGCCCCCCCATACTTTCTATAACCCAATACTAATCACTAATATTTTTTACTGTGGGATTTTTTTCTTTTTGTTTTGCTTTCCATGAATACACGTAATATCTGATATATTAAAATACACAGTATTGTCAGTGTCTCTTTAAACCCCAAAACCTTTGGGATGATTGCTTTGTAGTTGACTATAACTCTATTATCATGATGGGTCTACCCTTATATACTGATTAGTGATGCAGATAGAATTCCGCTGTCATGGATGGACTGGAATTAGAGCCTAGTGCCCAGAACACCAGTCTTCTGAATAGTAAATTACTCTTCAACGCTGCTACTAATTTCTCCCGAACACTGAAGACATACCCATTGAAAGAAGAAAAGTAACTTAAATAAAAACTTTCCAGATACACAAGTCCCAATAATGTTTGAGTTCGATGTGGTGGTACACGCCTTTAATCCTAGCGCTGAGGAGGCTGAGGCAGGAGGAGCTCTCTGAGTTCAAGGCCAGCCTATCTACAAAGCTAGTTCCAAGATAGCTGGGGCTGCACAGAGAAACCCTGTCTCAAATGAAAGAAAAAAGATAGAAAGAAAGAAAAGGAAGGAAGAAAGAAAGAAAACCAAACTATTACACATGGTGTGAACTCACTTGTAAGTGGATACTAGCCATATAGTGTAGGATAACCATACTACAATCCATGGACCCAAAGACGCTAAGGAACAAGGAGGACTCAAGGGACGATGCTTGAATCTCACTCAGAAGGAGAATAGAATAGACCAGAGGTGGATGAAGAGAGAGAACTGGGGGGGAGTAGGGAGTGGGAAGGGGAACAATGGTGGGAATCAGCTGTGGGAGAGGTGGGAGGTGAGAGCTAGGAAAGAGAAGGGAAAGTGCTGGGGGTGGTCATATCTGAGACAGGCTGAAGACCTGCAACAGAGTAGGCTCCTAGAAGGATAGGGGACTGACTCTAGCTGAGATCCCTAGCAGCAGAGGACTCGGAGACAAAAGTGGCCACCTCCTAGCCTAGCAGAACTTCCAGTAGGGGGAGGGGGACTCCAACCTGCCCACAAAACTCTTGACCCAAAATTTACCCTGCCTACAAGATATACAGGATAAAGATGGAGCAGAGACTG